GGACCCTGGAGAGATGCATGTTAGAGGCTACAGAAGATTATTTTCAGAAGAACTGAGCACCCAGAAGTCCTATTGATTTTTGACCAACAGTTCTTGGCTCACAGCACCTCCAAAAACTAGGCCACAGCACTAACAGCAGATCTTGAATGCTGGGCATTTTGTTTTTTGGTTTAATATCTTCATTCACTACCCCATCTGAGCTGTCTGTGTTGCTCTGATGTTCATCTTTTGGAAAAGCTTTCTTATCAGGACTACGATCTTAAGCCAATCAATAAAATATAGAGTATCATTGCAGCAGCAGCATCAAGAGCTCTTTTACAGGAGTGCCAAAAGAAGCCTGCTGCTCTTATTCACTCCTCTGCGTGTGTGCGTGTGTGTGTGTTCGTGTGCATATGTGTGAAAACCAGGAAAGGATGCGCTTGGACCTGCAATAACAACTCTAGAGTTATAATATTCTATGTCATTCTAAAATTAGTTCTGCTGGTGTAAGGTCAAATCAAATGAGCTGACCCAGTGAGCAGGTTTCAGGCACATTATCTCTCATAATCCTGTGAAAATAATGGTTTGTTGGTCAGGCAACATTCTTCAAATGGCCACCTTATGCTGGGAAAGCAATGAAATTGTAAACTGATTTAATTCTCAGAGTTTAGGGCCTAATCGAGCCGTATCAGTGCCTCTTTTCCTATGCCTGTCCCCTTCACAGATAAAACAACATATGGCATGTGTCTTACGACACATCCCAAAAGAAGGCTTCTTGGACATCTTCAAACTTTTTTCCGCAACAGATAAGGAGCCAAGCATTAAAAGATAAAGTCTGGTTATGAGTGGAAGGTGACACCTGCACCCACCATAAAATTCTGCAAATGAGGCAAGCTAATGACACAATAAAAGCCTCATCTGGAAGATTCCTTCTTTTATAAGCAATACAAATATGCTGGGAAAGGCAGTTAAATCTCCCCATCCCATGCTCTGTCTTTTCTCAGTCTATGGCTCTGAGTACTTTTCACCATTCCCAGTTAATCTCCATCTATAAAGTCAAAAGGGAAAGAAAATACTTGGCGCAATTGACTGCAGGGATGTAAAGCACAGCCGAGGAAGATTGGTGTCCTTTGCATATGCACTCTGCTTACTGTTCAAACACCTGCCACACTCACACTTTACATGTGAATAGGGTAAACACGTGGATAATACTGTAGCTCAAAGAGGGTCATAGCTCAGCCGTTGAACTCATGCAAAAAGTTCCAGTTTCCATCCTCAACATCTCCCAGAAGGGCTGGGAAAGACTCGTCAAACCTGGATTGCTGTTGCCAGACACTGTAGAAAGCAGCTTTCCAGATCAATGGTCCAATTTGATGTAGGAAAGCTCCCAAAGCCCCATCACATCCAACTCTGCCCTTCGGAGCACCACAAACAGAGGCCCACTTTTTATATAGGCTTGGCAGCCTGAGCACCCTATGGATGGGCAGGTTCTACTATGGATGTAGAATGGGATTTGTGCCCCTCTAGACAGTGCTGGATTGCAACTCCATCTTCCCTAAGGAAGCCTATGAAGATCAGCCTGGATGTGTCCTATCCTTGGCTTATACGTGGTAAAAGATAAATACATCTTTTAAACAAACTAAAGATAGACCATTGTGTCAGCTGGAAAGTGCTGAGATCAAAAACTAGTTGTTCATAGCTGTTCGTTCTGATTCTTTACAGTGCTGTGGCATACCTGAACCTGAACATCCAGGCCTGGGTCTCTGATGTTTAAAATGTGGGCCTTGCCTGGCATAATTGAACTTAAGTTGCCTTGTTTATGCTAATAAAACAACAGAGCTTTAGTTATCATCATCCCAACCACCTCTGCCAGTCTTCCCACCAGGGGAGGCTCCCAAAAGAGATGGATCAAAGGAGTACGCACACACCCCGCGGCTGTGTGCCCTCCTTGGCCATACCCCTTATCAGCCTAGTCCAATGGGGCCTTCATGCTTGAGGTAGTCACAAGCCTCTGCCTGCAGGAATGTGCCATCACTTTGGCATCTTCAAGCGAAGAGACCTTGGCAAGCCAGAGAGAGATACTCATTATTCATTTATTGTGTATTATTATTATTAGCACCTGCATAAGTAATCAGTATACTTCTATGTTAAGATTAAAACATAAAGTAGAATGCTGCATGCATGCACTATGCTTTGAATTATGTAACCTATACAAGTTTGCCATTTTCTTTGTGCTTTTGTTCGGGTTTTTTGAGGTAACCCCTGCTGCCTGTCCATTCCAGCTGATTGGAGGTTCGCTTGTATACCAGCTGGACTGCACGCTGTAACTGTTTGGCTACTAAAACCTTTGAAACCAAGCTAGTGTTTGGTGTGTTGCAGAACAATAAACTGCTCTGATCGTCGCAGGATATTAAGCTGTTTGGTCAAGTCTGTTGTGCCACTGCAGAACGTGAACCTGTTTTGATTGTCACCAAGATGCTAAATTGGATCAGCATCTAGTTAGAGAGACTGTAGGGTGGTGTACCTGAACATCCAGGCTTTAGTTGGCAAACCTGGTTGGCAGCATATCACTTCCTGGGAATCCAAAGAACTGCCTCACCCACAGCCAGGGCTCAAAGTGCATCATGCACAGGATGTATTTTATCTGCACTTTCATTTCATGCATCTGCAAACCCTTTTCTATCTATCCATCTATTTGCTAATCTGAATTTACCATATTTAAACTGGTTTTACATCCTGCCTTTTTATTCCTTTGTGTAATTCAATGTTTAGAGTCAAGTGTGGTTTACCTTTTTCTTTCCTAAAGACAATTCAAACATAAATATACAGGAAAGATACCATTTTGTAATATAAGACGTCTTGCTACAACTACCTTTGTTCATCCTGCATGCACAGATATACTTTGCTTTAATTCAAGAGGAAACTCCAAGGTTCATTGTATTTGTTATGCTATTTTACCTGGGTTCTATCTACATCAGGACTGCTGAACCCTGAAGGCCAAATTCCATTTCAGAGATACTCTAAAGGACTGCATTCCAGTTGTGGGTGCAGTGAAAGGGGAAGGGCCTTTGTCTGAGCTTAAAGTATGTTTGAGCTTAAAGCTTCAACTACAGTAACTCAGCCTTAGGAGGAGAAATTGAACCTGTCAGAATAGGAGGAAAACGACACAAAAGGTGAGGTGATCAGTGGGAAGAGCTTGAGGCCCTCTGGGGAATCCCAGAGGACCACAACAGGCCCCAAGTGGGCCAACTGGCTCTTAGTTCAATAATGCTGTTCTACATACACTCAAGTCCTTTGCAAACCTCAACATCGGTACAGGGTCATAGAATTCTTGAAATGGGACATACATGTGTTAAAACCACATGGGCCAGGCTTCTGCATGTTGAACCCTAACCGAGTTAATCCCATTTCATTTTTATGGCCAATGTGTGGCAGCAAAGTGGGATCACTACTCCTTAGAGTTAAGGAAGGTGCAATTTCATTTCCTTGCAGCATGTAATTTCTACATGTTTTAAGCTTGGGGCTTCTGTCTCCAGTATTGCAAGAACACTACAACATTAGCAGAATTATCCATCACAGCTCACAGATGCCGATAAAGGTAACAATCATCAAGCCTGATGGGTTTCCCATGAAAACCAAACATGGGCCTATAAAGGTTTTTTTTTTTTTTCTTCAATCAATTTATTTTGGTCAAGCTTTTGAACAATATGCAAATACTGAAAACCAAGAAAATGCCTCTCTCCTCCCAAGTATTGGCACCCTCAAACCCTATCCCAAAAGATTTGTTAAAAAGGATTTCACTCCCCTATCGCTACTGTTGCTTGAGTTCTTTGCCCTACATATTCAAATCATGCACCAGATGCATATTCATAATATGAATGCACAAGGTCAAGATATCTCATAAGTATTCAAGGCTTAAGGTTCTGTGTCCACCCGGAGTTATACAATATTCACTATTGCTCATAAGAATTTTGTCTAAGGAAGAGCATGTTTATTTTGTGAAGAGCTACGACTTGCTGTGGCCTTTTTAGTGTCCCTTTTAGGAGAAGAGGATACAATATCACTGCAAAGAAGAGTGTAATATAGCCCACTGCCAGAGCAGAAATGGTATACCTGAAAAGTTGTCACCTCCCTCCCCTTATTATACAACCTTTCCAAATCCGGTGCCTTCCAGATATGCTGGACTGCAACTTCCATTCACCCCAGACAACATGGAAGGTATAGTCCAACACATCCATAGGTCACCAAGTTGGGGAAGGCTGACATAGACAACGGCAGTAACCAAAAGTGTGTGCATGTGCATGAGTGTGTGAGTGCATATGTGTGTGTGTAAAGAGCAGATCATTCTGAGTTGCCTGGAAATGCTTATCAGCAACATTTCCTTTCTAGCTGTTTACATTTGTAAACTGTCAAACCAGCCTGCCTTGCCTAATTGGACTTTCCCCCACGTGGTAACATTAACTTGAAAGCACAAAGTGTAAATATTTCATGATGTCACAAAGGCTAAAGACAACCCTCCCCCTGCAAAGTAGCTGTATTTATTAGTCATAGGCCGCTTTTTGTAAAACAAGCAACAGGGCCATCCCAGTAAAGCGCTGAAAAAACAAGACCTTCCTTCCTGCATAACGAGCACCAATGTGCTTAGAAAATGATGCCACAGTTTCTGCATAGAAATAATCTCATGTGCCACTCACCACTGGATTCCTGCAAAGGCAACAACTTCTGCTGCAGCGGTGGAGGCTTTCAGTGTAACATGTGTCATTGTTCCCTGAACACACCTCCAGTTTACACTCCCGTTTCACATCACTCTCACACATGCACACAGGTTATGTTCGCCACAGTCAGACACACTCAGCACCTAAGGTTACATGGCTCCTGCTATGTTTTGGGGCTCAAGACACTGTACAAGAGCATCCAACGTTTGACAAAGCACAGGTAATAAAAGGCCCAAAATATATCGTATTCTACCAGATGCCTTTGCGGACACTGCTAATGGACCACAGAATTTTAGTAGTACTCACACAATCTCGTCATTCTGAAACTCCAGCTCCCCACAAGTATCTTCAAAGTCCTCTCCACCCCCTTTGGCTGTGCCTTCTATGGTTTTGTAGGGCACAATAACATTTCCTCGTGCTCCAGAAGTGCGCAGCACTCTGACTTCCATGGTTCCCACGCTTTCGCTCACATGAGTCACAGGCTCCTCAAAGGTAAAAATGCCAGCGTGGTCATCGTCAAAGATCGTGACAGTGGCAGTGGCAGGAGAACCCAGGCAAGCCACGGTTGCGACATGGTTGGCCTCCAGAACGCCTTCTCCTGGGTCCTCAGAAGACACTTTCACATTGCTGAGGTGAACAAGGAAGTTCTCATCTTCCTCAAATATATCATCATCGATTATGCCAACCCGTATTTCCTTTTGCATTTCACCTGGCTTAAATATCACAGTACCTTCAGTGAATTCATAATCAGAACCCGCATTGGCCGTGCCATCTTCTGTTCTGAAATCAACGGAGACGGTTTTGGTCAAGTCGCCGCCACGTCGGGCAATAACCAGGGCCACCGTGCCGCAGTTCTCAAGGCACTGGTAGGTGCTCTGCTCAAAATAGACCTTACTGACAGGGTCATTGTCTGCCACTTCACAGTTAACCTCATGCATGCTGACTGCTTTCCTCGCCTGGTCAGCTGCATGTCTCTTCAAAATATTGCCAGCTCCTGTCATTAGCCGAGTGGCCTGGATGCGATAGAAAGCTCGGCTCTTCTGCTGCTGGCTCAGAACCTGATAGTTAGCTAGTTCTATCAGCTGTTCTATTTCTTTGTCCGGATGCTTCTGTTTCAGCTCTTTAAGAATCCTGGCCATTTCTCTCCTCGCTTCCTCATCATCCTGATCCTTCTCATCCACCTCGAGGACCAGAGTGCCATCTAAGAAACTTTCAACATGAGAGTTAACTACCTTCCCATCCATTTCAATGTCAGCTTTGGAGGGTGGTCCTTCACCTTCATGTTCAATGATCATGCCCCTCTGCTTGCCAGCCCTGTATTTCTTGTAGACATACTTGTAGAACAGAAGCCTTCTGTCAGCAACCCATGCAAACACCACACAGATAGGGAAAAAGAAGAAAGTGAGCAGGCCTTCCCAGACCTCCACTACCCCAGGTGACATGACCGACAAAATTAGGTAAAGCCAAGTGTAGGCAAAGATGCTCCAAGCTGCAGTGACAAAAAACACACGAAGATGTTTAATCTTCCTGATTTCCCCATCAGGAACAACATAAACGCAAAGTGCTATGATGACAAACATGTTGAAGGCAGCACTTCCTACAATGGTGCTTGGCCCAAGATCCCCTGCGGTGAAGCCATGGCCACACACTTCAATGACAGAAAGGAGGATCTCAGGTGCAGAAGAGCCCAAAGCCATAAGCGTTAAATTGGAAACAGTCTCATTCCAAATTCTCACGGTTGTCTTGCTAGTTTCACCATTGGGTTTCTTGATTGTGATTTCTCTCTCTTGGGATGTAATAACTTCTATGGATGACATGAAACGGTCAGCGATAATTGAGACTCCCAGAAACATGTAGACCATAGCTACAAAGTATACAGTAGCTCTTGCTATTTTATCTCCAAACGAAGGGTCCTGAGGTTCCCAAATTGGTAAAATCACACCTTTCTTACAGATATAGGAACCAGTACATTCTGGATTAGTTTTATTGGTAACTTCAGTCTGATGTTCTGAGTGTACTCTGTCCATGTGCAATAGCAAGAGTAGAACAACACTTAAAAGATGAAGACCACCACGAAAGGCAGTTGGATTCTTTAGCCCCATCATGACGACTTTCTTGAACCAATTTCAAAATGTCTTCTAACCTGCAGAATACAAAATTGTAAAAATGTGTTACTGAACTTAGTACTGTCTTTCTGTAAGACCACAGATTTATGGCAGCTTCTAAGAATAAACACTATTTACAAAAGTAATGGTTTATCAAGTCATTCTTGAATTGGTTACATTTCCTGGCACATATGCAATCATCTAGTAATTTCCAGTTCAACTTCCATTCAAATTAAATCAATGGAATAAATAGCATAATTTTTAAAATACAAATTAAGCCTGTTTGAGTTTAGTATTAAATTTGACTTTGCTGAAGTTGTGATTCTTTCTTTTTTACAAAACAAACATAGTAAAACCTAGTATTTTCTAAAAGTCAAATAAAAAAATATTAGCAACATCCTGAATTTGTGTAAAAACAATAAGGACAAAAATGGTTCCAAATGCCTTTGATTTATTGTATGGCCAGCTATAATACAAAAGATACAACATAAGATAAATGTCACCAAGGTACCCACCACATACCCAAATCTGCATGCCATGGGATGGGATGGAATTTGAGCAGGAAGTTTTAGAAAGTTATAAATCAGGAGGAACTAGCTGAGAGACTGAGCATTTCATTTAAGAAAAGCCCTGCTGATCAGGCCAAAGGCCCCTGTGAGGGCCACAAGCAGCAAATACAGACACTCCCTTTCTCCACGTTTTCCCTAGCAATTAGCACTCTATAGCTTAGCATCTCAGGAATGAAGGCAGCATATTACCATTACGGCCTCCATCAATAGCCCTCTTCTATTTGTCTAATCCCCTTTTAAAACCATCCAGTTGGGTGGCCATCACTACATAGTGTGATTGAGAATTTCACAATTTAACTAGACCTTGTGTGAAAGAGGCACTTCTATCTGTACTAATTCTCACCAATCATTTCAGGTTTTGTTATTGAGAGGGAGAAAAAATGTCTCTCTTTCCATTTTCTCCACATCATGCATTATTTTACAAATCTCTATCACACCTTTTCCCCATGATTATTTTGTTTGCCTTTTCCAGTTCTATACCATCTTTTCTGAGATGTGACAACCAAAAAGCACACCAAGTGTGGTTGCACCACAAATCTCCATAAATGCACTATAATGTTGGTGGTTTAATTTTTACTATCTTCCGTAATGAACCCGAGCATAAAATTAACTTTTTTCACAGCTGCTTCACATCGGGCTGACATTTTCATCGACAACTCCAACATCCCTCCCCAGTCTGTCACCGTCAGCTCAGACCCTATTAATGTAGCTGCGAAATCAGGATATTCTGCCATAACACACATCACTTTACACTAATTTACAGTGAACTGCATTTGCCAGTTTAATTCTTAATTCACCCATTTTTAATTCCAGGACATCAGCAAACCTCGCCAACTTACTGCTCACCCTTAACTCTAGGCCATTTACAAACAGTTGGAAAACACTGGCCCCAATACATATCGCTGGGCGACACATCATTTCATTGTGAGAACTGTTCATTTTTTTCCTTATTCTCTGCTTCCCATTTTTAACTTATTGCCAATCCATCATTGCAGCCTTTTCCCACGATTGCCCAGTTTGCTCAGGAAACTTTGGCAGAATAGTTGAAAATCTTTTTGAATGTCTGGCTAACAATATCTACTTGATCACTCCATTCACGTTCTTATTAATTTATTAGATTTATATCCCACTTTCTTTCTTTTTAAAGAACTTAAATAGCTTACATCAGTCTTATCTTGCTCTCAATCTCATCCCCACAACAACCCTGTAGGATAGGTAAGACTGAGAATCAGTGACTGGCCCAAAGGCACTGAGAAGGCTCTGTGGCTGAACAGGGACTAGAACCCAGATCACCTGAGTCCCAGTCCCACACTCTTAACCACCATACCACACTCGCTCTTATGAACGCTCTCCAAGAATTCTGAAAGGCAAGTGACTTAGCTTTACAGAAATAGTGCTGATTCTGTCTCAGCAAGATCTGTTCTTCTTGTCCTATTAATTTTCAATGGTACTTCTGTCCCTCCCACAGTGACCAAGTGTAGCAGGTAATTAGAGTCAACTCCACAGAGGGACCCTGAGAAAGAGTTACCAGAACCAAGGAACAAAGCAAGCACACAAAAATGAAAAGTCTGGCTGGCTCGCTGGGGCACGCAGGGAGTTGTACGACCCTTCTCTGTCTAAACTCACACAGGACTGCACCAGTGCTGACAACAAAAGGGCCAGGGGAAAAAAACCAGTGTTCTGCCAGTGCCAGAAAGACATCAGTGCTGGTGCCAGGCAACCACCTCTGAGGAAGGCAGACCCGGCATCAATACTTAGCGTGCTTAAGTAAATACTAGGAGCTAAGAAGCCATTTTCTGGGGAAAATAATTTTTTAAAATCCAAAGACCTGGTGCTTTCAGTACCACCCAAACAATTCTACAACTCTCTTTTCAACCCTCTAATTCGTTCAGTCTCTGACCCAAACATGCATCAAAGCAGGGCGCTGAAGGAAAGCGGATGGCCACTGCTAGTCTGGTGCATACTTTTAGCAAGGTGTGTTTGAAAAAAGAAGAAGAAATATACCTGCTGGAACACTGAGCTGAAGCGGGGCTAGGGGACTGGGGTGGACAGACAGCCACAACATTGCCCAGGAGGAAGATGAGGGGCCTACTTCCTAGGACTCCCTTAATCCTGGAACCAGAGTTGGTGCTCCTCCAGACAGCATGTATTTGTAGGGTTCCTCCACCAAAACGCTATGGGTCTATCTCCCACAGGCACCTGCTATACAAAATCAAGTTCATTGCAAAGGTTACTGCAAGGAGTACTTTCTTTGACACATGCTGGTATGCAGTCTCGCCACTGGCTTGCCACAGTCTGGGGAATCTGAGTCTACCTAAACTACCAGTAGGTTTTTCATACTGATTAACAGCCAAATCCTATGCGTGTTTACTCAGAAGTAGTTCCCACTATATCCAACGCACTTTCCTCTTAACAAGTAGGTTTATGACTACAGCTTGGATTTTATTTATCGTATCTCTCTGGATGTCTTTCTTTATCCTTTCATCCCCTCTTGTAAAATAGATTCTTTCCTTTCCTTCTCCTTCCAGACTTATTGGCATAAACTAGCCAACACCTAGTGCCCACTTGATTCATCCAACAAATTTGCCTCTTGCCTCTTAAGGCTCATGCCACAAAATTGTGGCAGAGGAAAATGTGGTTTGAGCCTCTCACAAGTTCTTTCCCTTTTGAACTGAACAATTTATTTCCATTTATTAACAGCACACTGAAAATACACAAACATGTTTGCATTTATCTGGTAAAAATGCTGGTAAAAAAACAATTTTTAAAAAGAGCTGAAAAAGGAAACTGTCTAAAAAACCTAATTAAAAAAACAAAAAACAGAAAACCAGCCAAGAAAAGTAGCTTCCATCAATTACTTCTTCAAAGCTTTTGGAAAAATAAATGGGTTTTCCCTTGTTGCCTAAACAGTAGGACTTGGTTTTACCTTCCTTGCAACCCAAAATAGGTGCAGACATCTCCCCATGCTTCTTTTATTTCATCAAGTGCCACGGGTGTTCATGCTGCACACAATCTAATGACGATTTATTGACCACAGAGAAACTGCTCATTTCCTCCCTTGGCTACAGGAGGATGTGTCAACAGATGCTATCTTGGGCACCCATTAGTTACACAAGGGGTGGCTTTGGAAAGCAGGTTTTGCTGAGTGGCTTGAAACCGCACTTAAGCGGAGCACTTTGCCTTCTATTTACAGAGAGGCCACTCTTGACCACAGTACATGGATAGCACAGGCTTATGGGGCAGCGCACTAACCCAAACAAGGTGAACATGCAAGGTGAGCAAAGGCAAAGGCGGAATCTGATCAGGAGGGTTGCTCTGAGTGACTTGGCCCATGCTCAGTGGAATTTGTTTCTTGTTAAAAAGAACCCTGAGGCCACCTTCCAATCTGTTTTGGATAGTCTCCCGCATTTCAAAATGAGCGCTGCTAAAGAAACTCAAGTCCAAAGCCAATTTCCATAGTTTAACAATGTACTCTGTAAAAAGAATTATATGGAACTTTTACGAAATTCTTTTACCAAAGACGTAGTGGTGGCCATCAGTTCAGGAAGGATAAGGCTATGCACAGCTATCAATCATGATGCCTATAATAAACGCATGCTGCCATTTTGCTCGTTTTGCTGTGAGATTCCCACAGGCTCTCGCTGGCCACTGTAGGAACAGACTGCCAGGCTAGATATGCCTTTGGTCTGATCCAGCACAGGTCTTCTAATGCACTAATGTTGCAAATTGTTTGGATCTCAGCCTAATGGAGCAGGAACTTTGTCCAAGGATCCTACTTCGAGACACCAGATGGACAAAAAGATGCCCTTGTTATTAGATTATTAATTCCCATCATGCCTAGCCAACACATCCAATCTAAGGATGATGCAAGCTGTATTCCAGCAATACCTGAAGTTGTAAGATTGAGGATCATTACCATAGTTTGACACGTTGCCATTCAATACCTCCTATTCTATCCATACCTATATTTTCAAAGAACAAGTATATTCTGTGTTTATGAACCCTCTTTACTTGTGTTAAAGGCCAAAAAGCTGGCACCATTGCACATTTAATTAAATGCACACAGTAATGAGAGAATAAGGTTGGAAAGTATTTGCAAGCTGTAGTGATTGAAAAAAGCAAATTAGAATGGAAATCATTGTGCAAACATCCCCTGTGATAGTTGTGATTGGCACAAACAGGAAAACACTGGATGTAAAACTCAACTACCATGGAAAGCAACAAAACAGAGTGTAAAAGCCAGGGCACTGATGATTTAAAGGGATGGGTTAACATGCAGCATGGATAGAAGTTAAGTCCACCTCTGCTGTCCTATTAAATTGTTTTGCCCCAGCTGAATTTCTCTGCCTGGTGCTCTGAGCTTAGAAGCTAACCCACTGGAAGGAAGTTCCCCACTGCTGGGGAAGGAAGTTCAGCTCTCCATCCTACATGTCCAAGCTCCATCTTCTTTATATTAAAACATGGAGACTGAAGTTGCATCCTGCTGTAGTCAAGTCTAGTTTAATCCTGACCAGCCTATGCTTTGTCTTTGCTATGATTGGAGATGAGCAGATGTTGCTAATGCTGCCCCATCTGTGTTTCAAGGATTGTCAGGCTCATTGATAAAATTGGATTTTTTAATCCTGAACTGTGTTCTACTTGTGCTAATCCATGTTAACGCTAATGCCCACTTGCACATTTTGTGAATTAGCACATATCTTCCCCCAAACTGAAAAAAAAAAAACCAATAAGCAACCCCATAGAACCCAGGACGCAGAAAAAGCCAGACCATTGCAGAATTTACAGGTCAGATATCTAGAAATCCAAACTCATTTGAACTCTTTACAGTTTCTCCAACATCCTGAACTATGATCACATTCAACAATGCATATTTATGAGCCAGACCAGTGTAAGTACCAGGCACCAGACCAGAAATTTCCCTTGCTCCAACCAGTGTTGAACTATCAGATCTTTTTGGAGCTTTGGAAAGCTGCTTGTAGTTCAGAAGGGGGGGGCACAGAAAACTGCATGCACGTGTGTATTCTTGTACATCAGTGTGCTCTTGTGATCAAAGGCATGGACATCTGTGCATGGCACTTGTCCCGGGTCCAATGCACCAGCCCTTCCACAGATGAACCTCCCAAACAGGCAACAAGGATGAAGAGCATTTGGTGGAGGGTCTTCCCATGCAGCTGTTTGTAGGTCAAATGACATCAAAAGGACAGGGGCATACCCAATAATGCTACTTGTGGTCCCCAGATGGCTGTTCAGTGAAGCATGTTTGTTAGGAACTGGATTTGCTGTCTATATAGCTTCTCTCATGGAGAAACTATGCATACAGTGAGGCTGCTTTACCTACCCTGTCCTATCAGGAGCTCTGGTGAGCACCAGATGAAATATTGACACTATATTGACAACTGACACTATGCTCAGCACAGGTTGACAAAACTTAGAGGAACATTTTCTGCTGTTCTGGATGAAGTTAATCCCATTTCAGTGTAGTATTTGTGGTTATAAAAGCCACTGGGATTGTCAGTTCTTGCCTCAGAATACGAACCCTGGTGACGTGTAATGTTCCCCTCCAATCTGAGCTGAGCACCATAACCTCCTGTTTTCTTCTCCAGCCTGATTCGTAGTTGGGGTCAGAGGAGAACTCTTCCTATTCTTCCATGGTCAAATCACTTGCTCACTCATTCACATATACCATGGGTGGACCACCTCTGGCCCTGAGGCTGAATCCAGCCTGTGGAGGTGGCTCATCAGCTAGTGGAGTCCTGAGCTCCCTCCACTGGCCTGCCCAATCCCCAAGACACAGGCCTTGGCCTGAAGACTACTGGAAGTTTTGGGAGCAGGCATGAGGGTAACAAGATAATTTGATTGCCCTGGGGGAAGAGAGGCTGTGCACTGACTTGCAATAGAGTTAAAGGTCAAGAATTTCAGTATGATCTAAAATGGGTCCGGCATGTTAGTAAATAGAAAGAATGCACAGCAAGTGGTGAATAAAAGTCTATATTGAGTACTGCAAGGTAATGAACATGGGGTGTCCATGCAGACAGGCATTGGAGCCAGTTCCTTCTCTGTTTCCCTGCACCTGCAACACCTGATATTCATGAAGATGTGATTCTCTTCATCTACAAAGCAGGAAAAAGCAGTGTATGAATTGGCCCAAAGCAACAAGGTCAGGCACTTCACCTATAGCCAATTTGATGAAGCCAAGCAAGTGTGGACCTGGTCAGCAGCCAGATGGAGAATCAGCTGGGAATCTCATAAATGACACCTTGTGTTCCACTCTTGTGCCATAGGATCAAGATTCCACTCATGTCCTGATCTTTCATTGGCCTCAAGGCCTGGAGTATGAGAAAATGATAGACAATTGACATAGCGGTCTCCAGCTCATCCACATTTATGACCACAGTTTGGGCAAATCAAACATTTTTAGAGTGAACAGTTAAGTGTTATGACAGATAAAGTCTTCAAGGGTTTTACCACAGCAGAACACAATCGGGAACTGCTTGTTGTGTATATTTGAGTTGTAGTGACTTCCATTGCTTTTATATAATATACTCTTCACTGGAAGAATAGCTTAGTAGTGCTATTTCAATCAGCTTGAGCAGATGTCATCTGCTTGGAAGAATGACCTTCCTAGGATGATGATGATGATGATGATTTGTAAATACATGTCAACCTCTAAGTGGAATGACTATAGCCACAAAGAGTTCCAGAGCCTTTATTTTCAGATCCCAGCTTGAAGTAATATGATTGAAAAGTTAGACTGGAATCCCACACAGACTTATTTGGGAGTAAGTCCAACTGATCTCTGTAGGGCGTACCTTCAAGTACACATGAATAGTCCTGTAATACTGAAAATTTAACATTGTTGCATGCATCATGGTTACACATATGTACACATGCATCCCACAAGAGAAGATGAAACTACCACAGCATTGGCTTTCTAAGATTCCTGGTTTGCTTTCAAAATGGAAAGCAAGTTTGTAGTCCTTATTGCTGGCATCTCACAATACGCTAATAGGACTGGACTGGGTGAAAACTCAGAAACAATCAAACATCTTTGACAAAGCTTCAAGTATAATTTTCTGCAACTATCTTTTCCTGGGCTTCTACTCAGCAGCTCTCTAGGTTAAATGCCCCACCTTGATTCTGCCCACACAGCTTCTTTTTATTAGAAAAATTATTATACAACAGAAAAAATATTTCTTTAACTA